TAAGAAAAGATGGGATTCGGGGATAAGTGGATAAGGTGGATCAAATATAGTATCACCACAGTTAAATTCTCAGTTCTAGTTAACAGGTCCCCAGTGGGGTTTTTCTCTCCTCAAAAGGGCATCAGGCAGGGCGACCCTCTCTTGCCGTTCCTCTTCATCCTTGCCATGGAAGGATTTAGCAAAATGATTGACAAGGCAAATCAATTACAATGGCTGAAGGGTTTTGATGTAGGCAGGGTTCCTGATAATTCAGTTTCTATCTCACATCTGCTTTATGCAGATGATACGTTAATTTTTTGTGGCGCAGAGTCATCCCAAGTGCAATACTTAAATCTCACCCTCTTAATTTTTGAGGCACTGTCTGGTCTCCATATCAACATGCTAAAAAGTGTAGTTTACCCGATTAATGCAGTTCCTAACCTAAGGGAGTTGGCAGATATACTAGGTTGCAACATTGGCTCACTACCTGCCACTTACCTGGGGTTGCCCCTAGGTGCAAAATTCAAATCAACTGAAGCTTGGAATGGGGTCATTGAGAAGTTCGAAAAAAGGCTCGCTTCCTGGTAGAGGCAGTATCTTTCCATGGGGGGAGGCTGACCCTTATAAATAGTGTCCTAGATAGCATCCCCACCTACTATATGTCTCTATTTCCTATTCCCTGTAAAGTGCTAAAACAGCTTGATAAGTTGAGAAGAGATTTCCTTTGGGAGGGTAACAGCACTACACCAAAGTTTCACCTTGTCAAATGGGCCAAAGTGACAAAACCTAAATCTCAAGGAGGTTTAGGAATTAGAGACCTTGCTGCTCACAACAAAAGCTTGTTAATGAAATGGTTATGGAGGTATAGCCAAGACAATCAAGATCTGTGGAAAAAGATAGTTAGGGCCAAGCATGGTACTCTTAATCACTGGTGCACTAAAGTATCTAGAGCCTCTCATGGTGTTGGTCCTTGGAAAAACATTAGCAACCTCTGGAATGAATTCTCTGAAAATACCTCTTTCAGAGTGGGTAACGGCAACAATATCAAATTTTGGAAGGATAAATGGCTTGGTAACTCTGTGTTAATGAATGAATATCCCAATCTTTTCAGACTAAGCAGGGACAAAGACTCCACCATCTCAAAATACAGAGAAAATAGCAGCTGGAACCCTTTATTCAGAAGGAATGTCAACGACTGGGAACTTGAAGAACTACTGACTCTACTTGCAAGATTGGAGGAGTGCACGTTGGATACAGAGTCAGCGGATAGATTAAAATGGGGGAACTCAAAGGAAGGAATTTATTCAGTGAAGGCAGGTTATACTCACCTCCATGCTCAAAATGATTTGATCAATAATTGGCCATGGAAATTGATCTGGAGAACTAAACTTCCAACGAAAGTCATATGCTTCACTTGGATAGCAATTTGGGAAGCATGTTTAACTCAGGACAATCTCCTCAAAAGAAGCTTTCAGATTCCAAACAGATGCTATATGTGTAGGCAAGCTGCAGAAACCACCAACCACCTTCTTTTGCATTGTTCAGTTGTCTACGACATTTGGTGTATGTTCTACTCTATTTTTGGGCTAAGTTGGGTCATGCCACAAAGTACCAAAGAGGCGGTTGAAGTTTGGAGCTCATGGAAAGTTGGCAAATCCATCAAGAAGATCTGGAACATGATACCAGCATGCATTTTTTGGGTAGTATGGGCAGAAAGGAATCGTAGATGTTTTGATGGTTTATCAACTTCAAATCATGCACTCAAGGCTAAATGTTTTTTACTACTCTTTAGTTGGTGCAAACTCTCCCCTGTAAATTCCCCTGAGCTTTTTTTGGATTTTGTTAGCTCCCTGGAACTATAGTTAGCCTATTCTGGAGCTAACACTCATCTTTTTTACTTATCATCTTGCATCTTCTTGATGCCATTAATGAATCTTATTACTTCATCAAAAAAAAGCTTCATAAAATCTCTTCCATTTGTTTCTATAAATAGATTGAAATGTCGTCTAATAATGGATCTAAGTTATTTTAACTGCAAAATTTACATTAACGTCAGGTACTTGATTGAATTATTTTGACTTTTTGCTTGTATACTATGATCAACTTTCTTCTTCACTTTATCCTTGTATTGCGTTTAAATACTAGGATGGAGTTTGTCCAGTGGATCTATTCGTGCTGGTCTGGAGAGTGCGTTTTTGCAAGGCAGAAGCCAAATATTGTCTTCAGAAGAAGCTAATTTACTTGGAGTACCTGGGGCAACTATACTACTTGATGGAGGTTGAATCCTGATGTTCTTATTGTTGGCCATGCATGTGTGTACATAGCCATGGATAATACAGTGATTTACATCTGTTTCCAAGAGTTGTGATACTATAATAATGAATAAACATTTTCAGCACATACAAAGGAATCTGCCAGGGCTTTGGCAAACACGTTGCAGATGACATTTCCAAAGGCAAAAATGGTTGTTGTGGTTGCTATGGCTAATGACAAGGACCATCTAGGTTTCGCAAGAGAGCTACTCTCAGGTTTGACCAATTTTGGATCTTTTTGCCACATGATCCATATCTTTTTTTGGTTGATGAGTTCTTATTCATGCATAAATTTAATTATTCAATTACAACGTAGCTGCAGCTTTAAGATTGTGGAATAGTTTTGTTGTTAATTTGACCCCTTTTGCACGGTTGCTATCATTATATCGCAACCAATTACTTTTCCTAAAACTTTGACATTGTTCTGTTATCGATTTGACCCCTTTTTGCGTATTTGCTACCATTACTTCGCAAATAAATACTTGTCCTAAATCTATGACTCTTTAGAGCGATTAATGAGCACTTGAAACTATGGAGAAGTACTCTAGAGAGTAGTTCTCATGATATATGCATTGCATGTTTAGCCCCTATTGGAAGAATGAAGGTGAAGGAAGATTAGACAGAATTGTGATGCCTAAATGAACACAATATGGACATCTGGACTTATTCTTCGAGTAGAATGGTATCAAGAATGGTATGATACCTGGAACAATTGTTAGTAATGTTACATGGCAATGCATATATGGCCTCTAAGCCTAAAATATCCACAAGATGAATGTCCTAAAAATGCGGATATTAAAGATGGATGTGCAATCACACAAGATTAGACAATGTTAGAAATGACGATTTCAGATAAAGGGTTCAAGCTATGTTGCTCGGACTCTTCAAAACTGTCGTTGGGTTCATGTAGGATCCTCCAAAAGTAGTGTATTTTTTGAGGATCCGACATGGGTGCTGCAATAGTTTTTGAGAGTCCGTACAACATAGGTTCAAGTGGCACACTTAGAGAATAGATGAGAGATGGTTGTTTAGGATGGTTTTGTTATGTCCTACATAGACTTCATATGCACTGTCTGGAGGTGTGACAATATGATAATTGAAGATGCTAAATAGAAATGGGATAAAACTAAAATTACATGGATGGGAACTGTTGAAAAGACTTCAACCTTTCAAAGTCAATGTGAACGTAGCTAAAAACTGCACAAAGTGGCATAAAAAATCCATATATGTGATACCAACTAGTTGGTGTAAAGGTGAAGTTGTTGTGTCGGTTATATTATGTTTGGTCTTAACAAGAGTTGTCCCTTCGGGAACTTCCGATAAATATGTTCAGCCCTAACAAGATTTCTTTTTTTTTTTGTGTGTGTGTGTGTGTATAATTTTGTATGTTAGTGTGGGGATAGTTGTGACATTTAGATAATCTCAGTTTTTTTTTTGTCTTAAAAGACATTATCTGTTATCGGGAATGGAATAGACTCGAGTAGAGCTGAATGATTGAGAATTCATACAACCAACCTTAACTAGTTTGGATTTGAGGCATAGTTTCAAGATAAATTTGGGATTCGATTTCTAGTTTTTTTCTTCCTGAGGCACAAACTTTGGAACCTCATTATTAGGTTTAAGGTTAAAGACCACATCACTTTAGAGCATCTGCTCAACATTCTTTTTGGCTTGACCAAAATGTTGTATTCTTCTAAATCGCACAGCTTCCTAGTCAAAATGACTACTTACTCTATTTCTGTATTTTTCTATTTAACAAATTGGGCCAAAATGTGGGTTATCAGATTCTTTCCATGTCGGGAAGTTTATACGGTGAGTTTATTTAGCTTCTCTTGGTATGAGACAACTTGTAACTGTTCAATTTCAGGAAAGTAGATATTTCTCTAAAACATCTTAAAATGAAAACAAAGGAATTGATTTTGAGACACAGGGAGTACTATAAAAAAAAAAAATTAAAATCCTATAAAAACGGAGAGTACTAAAAGCAGCAAACTGTTCCTAATATTAAATGTTGTTTGCTCTCTTCTTCCTTTTGGCCATTTATGTGTTTTAACTGGTATTCTTAGTTCTAAATGAAATGTGAGAGCTTTCTGATATTGGAGTGTTTGTCTTGAATATGATGCTTACGCATTACATGTTTTCTGGTATTTGATTAAATTATAATGACTCCACTAAGACAGCCGTTTCTTTTGGCAGTCGGGGATTTGGATGCTGTATTTTCAACAGAAGTTGACATTGCTGGTGCTAAATCAAGAATGACTTCAGCATCTTTATTGAAATGTGCTTGGGTCAATGCTTCGAGAGAGCTGGATATTAAGGTTCTCGACCTCAAAGTTGCAGATAGTGAGGACCAATCACTTCAAGCTGCACGGATGTCCGAATCTCGAAGCATTTTACTTGCGGAGGGATCACTATTGGCTTGTATGAGAACTGGTTTTAAGATCCTCAGCGAAAGAACTGGAGTACAATCTGGAATTATAGTAGTCACTGGTTCTTTGCATATTGTTTCTGCCATTTTAGACTACTTGCACAGTTGACTCCTATTTGGTAAGAACACTTCCTTTATGGACTCTGCCTCACGTTCATCCCTGCTTTTTTATTTTCATCATTTAAAGTTTTTTGGGTACTATGCGGAATTTTTTTATGAGAAGTTACTTATTAAAGGTGAATGAATTTTTGAACTAATTGTCAGTCTCAAAAGGAGTTGGGGTCGATTATATATATTTTCTGTATCAATTCTGCTCTATTAAGGTTGATCTCATTGCTTAATTACTTATAAAAGAGAGGATATTTCTATTTCTGTCATTGCACATGAATAGCTTCAGGCCTTATGATTGCTACTGCAATGCTTGTTCACTTTTTAGACAATACTAAAAGCTGTATTTTGTTGGTGAAGAATATCCCAGTTTACATGCTTGCTATTATAAATGCATTATTTTGATATATCATCTAGTTTTACGGGCTATTTATGCTGATTTCACATTATCTATTTGTGCAAGGCTTTTGCAAAAGTGGCCTAGGAGGTTCAGAGCCCTGAAATTACCCATGCAAAAGTTGGACAGCTGAACCGAATTACTGGATGACTTCTCAGCTCCCAGTTTGGTCCTTTTGTATGTACAATTGTTTCTGCAGTAACAGCACGTTCTTAGAATATGTATTTCCTTACTACCCAGTTGTTGAGGCCAAGTTTTGATGGGTTTGGGCTATTGTTCTGGAACAGGAATAAAAGCAAACTTCTCTGCTTAACCTAAAATAATTTTCCCAGGTGCGTGTTTCTTTTTATCACATCAGCAAATTTGTGAGAAACCTTAATGAAATCAATAGCCTCTTGCACATCACATAGTAAGTATATCATAGCTACATGTTAGTACAAAAACATTAATTAAAATTTTAGAACTGCACCTTTATTCTTTAAAGTAACAAGGAGGAAAAATCGGGGCAATAATTGGTACCATTAAATTTAGTATTTTAATTGTCAGTGTATTAGGTTCTTAATAGGCATTCTGATTCGTGGTTCATTACTAGATCAGCTTACCATGGCTACTGTAGCTAAAACTGTGGCCATGCTTAAGTTGAAGAACCGTCAAGCGTGGTCTTCTATGCTCAGGTGATTGCCCTTGAAATCTCTTTCTTGTATTTGCATAATTCCTTAACCCTCATACTGGTTTCCAGGAGTCCAGTCTTAAAAGTTAAATAGATGTTAAGTGATCGCAAATTTTAATCGGAAGCACTTTAAGATATTTCAGTTCAAGTCCAAAGTTTTTCAGACTGACGAGAGTTTTTCGTTTGGCATCATATTGACCTTGAGACGAGTTAGTTGATTGGTTCGACAGTTTGAGGATACATGAGGTCATATGAGCATATGACCCTCGTATCAACTTTAGGAAAACTGATTAGTGGCACACACCATTGTGTCGATCAATTGCAGTCAGAGGAATTTTAAAAAAAAAAAAAACAGATAGTTGGAATCTGTTTAACATGTTGCATTTTGGCAAATATATACCTGTAATTATGTTGTTAACATATTAAAGGGTGAAAATACTTTGGTTGTTCAGCTATGCATCTGTATAGTTTTCAGTTCATGTTATTTAACATGGGTATCTTGCATTGGCTATTGAGTGATCATAGGGCAGTGTTACTACAACCACTGTTTATTAACTCATTTAGCAGTCTGACTTTAGTATATTTAAGATGATGAAAATATGAGTAATAGGAAGTCCTATATAGTAAGATAAGCTAATTAAGGTTTGATTGAAGACTACAGCTTCAAGGACTCAAAGGGTTCTGCACTACCAAAACTTCCGTTACAGGGAAGATCGGGACACACCTTGAAATGAGACACAGAAATCTATCTAGTTCGTATTCAACCAGTATGCGTCTCTCCCTCAATCTTTTTTCCTCTTGTTCTTTTTCCTTTTACCTTAGACCTTTCAGTTTAAAAAGAATAAAATTGGGAGTAATGTACAGCTCATACATTTCGTGGTGATCTTTGATGAGGTTTCAGATGGTGAAAAAAGAATGAGAGGACCTGCTTATTTACTTCATCTATTTTTTGTTCTACAATCTCATTAATGTTTCTGTGAAGATGCCAGGCCATACAATCTGATGCATTCCTCTTCTTCAAAACCGTGCATCCATTTATCAATTGGTAGCCTTTACCTCTTTCCATTTAACTAAAGTTAAAAAAAAAAAAATGAATGAGAAATTTGAAGAATATCTTATACGGAAAAGGTCTATATATGTCCATGTACTATTAAATATTAGTTATATGAACCGTTATATTATTCCACACTTTCTACCCCTACCGTTACCCATTTAAACATATTTACCCCTACACCCACCCGAACACCCGAACCAATTCACCCGAATAGACTAGTATACATATAAGGATTTACAGCTTGTTTGGATGATTGTTATATGTTGTTTCATAATGTATCGTAGAATATTGCATTGTATTGTACTGTATCCTTTTGACGTATACAATGTTTGGATAGATTGTATTGTTTGTCGTTATTGCATGATATCATGCACCAATAATACGAAGAATAAAATTGCAATACTATAAAGAAAACGTAAGTTACGAGATAAAATTATTATATAAAGGGTAGGATAAAGGATAAAATAAAATTATTTAATAATTTATAAAGGCAAGATGAGAGAAAAAGACAAGATAACGACGGGACCACACCAAATCGCTTGTTTCATAAAGTGACATCTTTTGTCGTTATGTATTGAATTTAACAATACGATACAATAAACATTAAGTAACAATCAAAACAAACATTGTATTTAAAGTACCAAACGATACAATACAACAATTAACAACTATCCAAACAAGTTATTAGAGGTTCCATGGCAACCCTTCAAGCTTCAAGTTACTTGAGCTCATTTTGTTCTGCTTCCTCATCGTCTATCTTTCCAAAGAGGAAACATTACAGCAAAGATCACTGACGAGAACCCACAAGCAGAGAACAACACAAATAAACACCTCATTTGGTTTTGATGAGAATGGAGGAGTACATCAGAGAATTTGGAATTGTGTTTTTATCTTTTATTATGTCTTATGGAGTGTGAGAATATATGGTGATGATGAACCTTACAAGACATCATCTTTGAAGGAACTCTAAATTCGAATAAAGCCTTGTAAACATTTTACTCCATTGTGGTTCCAAGGAATAGTGCAAAGAAGAAGAAATTTTGATTACTTTCCAATAGAACCTAAAATATAGATACCCATGATTGTGCATATCTGTGTGTGTATCTTCTGTGAGCTTTGAATATTTTTTTGTTTGTTTTAAAGTGAACTCTGATTTTTTTTTCAAGTGACCTGTGAATTGTAGAGTATGTATTGGTGAAGAAATTTTGAAAAAAAATTCAACAAATTCCAATCGGCCCTGGATCTTTTGCGGGTGTCGGAATTAATGAAGGTAACCAGAGACTAGCAGGAGAAAATTAAGGGAAGAATCGAGAAGCTTTACGCAATCAAGGAGGCGATAGAGTGGAGATGCATAGGAATATTGGAGAACAAGAAGCCAATTGAGTAGTATGCTTTTGACATTCATTAATGGCATAACTCTGCAGTTGGTACTCAGCAGGTGAAGAATTGGTTCGGGTGGTTCGGGTGGGAGGTAGTAGGGATTAAAAAAGAGAAATATGGGTTGGGGTTTTAAAATGCAGCCACGTGTATGGAGGCATGGGTCCGTTAGATTAGAGGGTAAATATGTTTAAATGGGTAACAGCCGGGGTAGAAAGTGTAATAGTATAACGGAGGGTTCATATAACTAATATTCAATAGTAGAGGGACAAATATGGACCTTTTCCGATTAACTTTGGCACAATTTGTTTCCTTTCGTATTCACATGAACATACGCAGTCTATCAAATTTATAGAAGCCCTATCCTTTTTATTCTTCCTCTCTCCCACTTTCTTAAAAACCGGAATGACTGCCTCCCAAGTTGAACAAAAGAAATCTATATACTCATCACATCCCTTGGTGGTGAAATTGAGGTTCAGTAGGACGACATTTATAATTAAGATGGTTAACTTGACTGGAATACATCGTACTATAAAGGAGAAAATAAATGTTTTTTGAGCTGGAACATATAGTTTGGGTGGTCATGATAAAATTGACTTGTTCGATATTCGGAAATGCCACGTGACGGTGATCTTAACAGATTCTAGTCGACTAAGTGTTACGTCGAGAAATCTGATTTACTTGCTGATTATTGGGATTGTTTATTCGGTAACCTACATAGGACTAACAAAAGGAAAAACCATATGAGATAAGCAATTAAGTGTAACGTACATTATTTTATTAAGTAAATAGGTTAAGTTAAGCATTAGCTTGAAGATCAAATAAGCTATGGGCTATGGCAAGTTATTGTACAAAACCATTGAGCTAGAATATATGAAGTTATGTTCTCTCTTTTTTTTTGGGAGATATTCAAAAATAGCCAGATTTACCACTGGTCGTTGAAAAATAGCCAAGTTTCAAAAGTCATCGAAATTTAGCCACTTTAAATCTGAGCGAAAACACTGTTCAAAATCCGGAAAAATACGCTCGCAAATTTTACGGGAGTTCCAGCATAAGTATGCTTGAACTCCCGTAAATTTTACAGGAGTTCCAGGATAACTATGTTGGAACTCCCGCAAATTTTACGGGAGTTAAAGCATAATTATGCTGGAACTCCCGCAAATTTTACGGGAGTTCCAGCAAGTATAATTGTCCAGTATAATATACTGGAGTTTGGAGCACTGGTGCTCCAGTCTCCCGCAAATTTTACAGGAGTTAGCAAAGTATACCGGTCCAGCACAATATGCTGGAGTTCGTACACAAATGCACCAGAACTCCCGTATATTATACTGGACCAGTCCCTGTTGCAGTAAAATTTGTGGCTATTTTTTATTGACTTGATAAACGCTGGCTATTTTTCATTGACCAGTGTGAAAACTGGTTATACCATGATATTTTAACTTTTTTTGTTGCTTGATCGAAGAGAACCTTGACATAGAATGTCACGATATTCGTGACTTCTAATTAGTAGAGTGGGCCTGGTTATTTCTGATATTACTGGGCAAAGTGAGTTGCCTTCAGTGGGTTGAGAGTGTCTTATTTAAATTATAGCCTTTTCATATTTTGTCCAGTTGAATAGTATTATTTCCATTCCCTAACAGTTTTAGGCTAGCTTGGTGGGACAGGTATCGCCTAATAGTAGAGGTTATTACATGGGGGATACAGCTGTAGGAGCTATTCTTCTAGTACTTAGTATTTATCCATCGGCCTTGTATGTAGGAGTTATCTATTGAATCAAGAATTTGCTTGTTTTTCTTCCCTTTACTTAATTTTCTTATTTTCTTCGCTCCCTCAATCCAAATCGTAACTATAATGCTACATTTGGTATCAGAGAACTGATCTGGCAACTATGGGTACTGGCAATCATGAAACGAGCGGTGGTTCGGGACTTCCATACATGGAGAGTCAGCTTCAGCTGTTTATTGAAGCTTCGAGCAAACGAATGGAAGAGATACAAAAACAAAATGTTGAGTCAAACCAGAAGATGGACGATCTGGTCTTCGGTATTCAACGGAAAGAGGAGTTGACAAATGCTAGTCATTCATATCCGAGTTTGTCTCAGGGAAGATCTATGTGGACTCAGGACATTCGTCTGTCAGAGGGCCCTTTCGGCCAACATCGCCTTCGGTAACCCCTGTTTATTCTTCTTTTGCTTTTATGACGCCACAATTTTATACCGTCCGGGATCCAC